CCTTCAATGCATTCATCAATATCTATTATCATTGATAGAATTATCAAAATTTTAATTAAATTTACCTTTACAAAAATTGATATTATAGGATCTATAGCCATTATCGCAAACACAGTCATAAAAAGGCACTTTGTTAATACACTTGTGTTCACATATGTTATCATCACACTCATTAATGTCTGCAAAATTTTTTAATAATAAAAATTAGATATAATGGTTTTACCTGAACAGTTTTTCCTGTTGTCATCCATTGTATAGCCATCTTCACAAGTACAATAGTAGCTACCACTTGTGTTGTGACAGTTTTGTTCACATTTTCCATTATCAATGGCACACTCATCAATGTCAATACATGTGTGATTATCACTGTCTAGTTCATACCCACTGTCACAATAGCATGTGTAGCTGCCTGCAGGTGTGTTGCTGCATTTATGATCACAGTTTGATATATTTTCCATACATTCATCAATATCTATAAATATATAAATATTTTATAGACATATTATTAGGAACCTGAGCAAAATCGTGTCCCATTCAACCTGTATCCAGTAAAACAAGAACAGCTATAAGAATAATCTGTATCAGTACATATGTGTTCACAATAACCATTTTCATGCAAACATTCATCTAGATTTAAAAAATACAAGATTTCACAACTGACACTTAAAAAGTACCTTCAGGACTATTAGTAGGAGGATCAGTGGGACCAGTGGGAGGATCAGTGGGACCAGTGGGAGGATCAGTGGGACCAGTGGGAGGATCAGTGGGACCAGTGGGAGGATCGGTGGGTCCAGTGGGAGGATCAGTGGGACCAGTGGGAGGATCAGTGGGTCCAGTGGGAGGATCAGTGGGACCAGTGGGAGGATCAGTGGGACCAGTGGGAGGATTGGTGGGTCCAGTGGGAGGACCAGTGGGTCCAGTGGGAGGATCAGTGGGACCAGTGGGAGGATCAGTACATGGACATGTACATGATAGAGATTTAACTGGATCTACATGAATACAGCATGTAGTTTATAATGAAAGTATTATTTGTGTAACGTAAAACACGTCCGTTCCTTCTTTGCTTGTGTCAGATGAAAATAGGAGCTACAAATGTATAACTCGGGCTATAATTTAATTCTTGCATTACAGCCACAAAGCAAAAAACATTATCTTTGCTTAACTTTTCAGTTGAGTATAAATCATTAATTCAGCCCAAAATCTGACACAATTAAATTCTAAATGTATTTCAAGCTAGAAATAGATCTAGTTGATAAAATTTAAACCCAGATTTATATAAATAGCCAGCTTATGCATATAAAAGAAAACAGTATTTGAACAAGATCTAATTCAAAATACTAAGATACAAGCTACAACTAACTTTTAATTGATAATAGTATCAATACAACAAAAAGTACAGTAGTGTGCCTCATCATCTAGAAAAACAGGATGTGTATCTCCTTAAAAGGATGTTATACTTAAGGTGGAGCACTTTATAATAACAAACAAGATACATGTATTCATGGTTAAATTTAATTCACAACCAGCATACTAGATACTTCAGCATCTAGATAAATTAAGTTTATAAAAACTATGAGTTTAAAACATCTAGCCCAAAACTTTTTGAACACATAATGGAAATGCATTTGACCTATACAACTGTAATTTGATGTACAGTATCTCACTTCACCCTCAGATTCAGCAAATGTGACATACACCTAGTATATTACAAATGCATATTCTATACTTATAGACTTAGTAGCTAGATCTAGGCAAAGAGGGACAATGCTAGATCTTTCTAAATCAATGCAGTGTACATCATTTAGATCATATGGAAACTCCTTTTCTGAACCCATTGGTACAATTAGATCTACTTCACCAAGCTTAAATCTCTAGCTAAGTCAATATTAACTAGTTGATCAAGCAGTGTCCAATAGTGGAAAAAGATAGTCTTGCAAGCCAGACCAGCATTCCCCAGCCTACTGCAGTTATTTGACTATAGGCTAATAAATGGTCTGGCTTATGAGACTAGGAACAAACAGCAATGGAAAAGTCACCTCCATTTTAATTACTGCAAAGTTGCTGACAAAGCTTTGTGATATTAAAGTATTCATTGTTAAGAAATTCATCAGCAAAATACAATCATGTCAACAGCAAATGAGGAGTTCAGCAATGGCATTCTAATTAGTTTAAGTTACATCTATTTTAAAATTTAGCAACCAAAAGTAGACTAGGTCTATCTAGATCTAGTTGGTATTTTCATGATTTCTTTGCTACAGCTAGTACATTATAATTATCAGCATCAGTAGTAACAGGAATAGTAATTGTGGAGCTACCTACACCAGGAGCTGACACCTCTACTACTATACCATCTAAATTAGGACCCACTGTATTAGAATCAAATATGCATGTACGTTTTCCTCAATCTCTATCTATTTCTATCATACGGTCCCTGTATTTAGAAGTATGATCTTCAGTGACCTGTACAATAACTCTAGCTAATCCATGATAAGCACTCCTCCAGTAAGCTTGGTTGGGTTCATGACACGATGGATCACCATTACCCACTCCAATTATTCTCCCTGGACCACTAACAATACTGAAGGATACATTCAGTGATGAACTGTGACATACTTTACCATTAGAGTCCAGCATAGCAGCACTCACCATCCCAGCATCCTC